ACCAGAGTGGGCGCTTCCATCGTCCTGCACCGCCGGGTAGGAGGTACACTCGGTTTTCCCTGGGAAAGTCCTCTGGCGAAAGCGTCTTGGAATTGAGCGCCTCCGACCTCTTGGACATCTCTGACTGGATGGAGAATTACAATCTCCAAAGAATACTAGAAAAGTGGGTTGGGAGTAGGGGTGGGAGACCCTCTGTCCTCAGAGACCCGAGTCCTTAATATCTAGTGTTGGTTCAAGCCTTAGGCATTAAAGCTTACTGGGGCTTGCGGAGGAAGGAAATGGGTGAGCTCAACGCACCTGTTAGCAATCCTCAGCTTGGCAGGGCTGGTGCTGGATTCCGCACGCTGACATGTGGGAGGTCAGAGATGTCGTTTAAAGGGCGCCTATGGGGTCTGAAGAGGTGCCTCAACTTTCTGCTCGGTTTCCAGCTATAACCCCAGCTCCAGGGGATCCGATGCCATCTGGAACAAGTACACGTGCACAAAGACAGGCATGCCCATAAAATAAAAATAAACCTTAAGCAGGTGCAGAGGGCATCTACAGCCTATCTTCCATGTGTGGTAATAGAATCTACAAGGATTCTCATAGTCTCAATAAAGCTTGTTTCCAGACACCTTGCAGGACCCACAGAAGTTACGGAAACCTGAGAGCCTAGAGTGAACCATATTTTAAAATAATGGACACAGCCTGCTCATAATTGCTTGAGCAAAAATTGCTTGAACCGATGACATTGGAATTGGTAAAGCTAGTAGGATAGGTTAGTCAGGACATGGAGAAAATAGTGTCCCCGTGACTTGGAGCAAATTCTTTTAATATGCTGATTTATTTTGTATGTGACAGGCCTGGCGTGCTCATGTGGAGGTCAGAGGACAGTTTTGTGGGAGTCAATTTTCTCAAGTTGTCTGGATTGATGGTAGGCACCACTACCCTGCCGAGCCATCTTCCTGGCCCCAGTTTCTCTACTCCATAAAAATGAATTTAAACAATTGAAGTGAGGAGTTTCACGTACATTATTCCTGTAGCACCCCATCTATCATAAGCATCTTTTAAATGTTAGCTGCAGTCTAAAATGCAGTAAATAGAAACATGTCACTCAAAAGGAAAAGTTCAATTTTATAAAGAACCTAGGAAGACTTCATGGGTGGCTGGGTTATCTAAAGCTGAAGAAAAACGTATTCATTATAAATATCAGTCACCCAGGAAATATTCCTTAGCATTTGTGTGTCAACTACTGTTTACTGTTCTGAAAATGGTTCTTACTCAGTTTGCATTCTAGAAAGGAAGCAAGGCCAGTAAGCCACTCAGGAAAGAACTTCTGAAGTTTAGACTTGGGCATGGTGATTACAGGAGGCTGAGGAAGAGGCCAGGTTCCAGGCCTAAGTGAGTTAGAGTGACTTCAAGGTCAGCCTGAACAACTTAGTAATACTGTCCTCAATGGGAAAGAAAAACTAGGGATGTGGCTTAGTGATATGGTGCTTGTCTGGCTTATGAAAGGTCTTAGGTTCAATTCCTAGCAATACAAAAAGGTTAAAAAAAAATACAGAGGGCGTATGGGGGTGGAAAGACAAATGTGAGAAGGGCATGAACAGAGGATGGGGTTGGGTGCGTAAGAGGTGTGTTGTCATGTGAGGCTAGCATATGAACAGCAACTGAATGAATAAAGCATTTGCCTGGCTATTCAGGAATCACTGGATTTTTTTTTTTGAAAGCTCTAATGAACTTAAACTTCTAGATTGGTGCTGTGGAGTCTGTAAAATAACTATTTATTGAGTACCCACTATGTGGGCAAAGGTGGCTTTTTAGATTATGGAGGCACCTTATAGGAAGGACATTGCAGTTACAGTTGAGGAACTGGACGTAAGGGAGTTCAGTTTGCTCAGGGTCACTCAGCTGAGGAGGCTGGAACCTGCTCTAGAGCCCTTATCTTTCTCTGACTCCTGCATTGCTGAGATGAGGTGATTAGCTCATTCACCAGAGTCAGAAAGCAGCTCCTCAATCGTAATGAAGCTGCATTGTGTGGGCCATCATCACTGCAAAGAAAATGTAGATCCTGTTTATTCCATGTTGGACACACAGAATATGAGAATGATGGTAGTAAATAAAAGCACCCACAGTGTCACCTTTTGGGGAGAATATATATATTCCTCTCAAGTTAGAACCCTAGCAGTTGGAATTTATGACAGACTGATTCCCTTGCCTCTGACCTCTGGCCTCTTTTAGAGACACTCCATTCCTATTATTGTGATAAAGTTTACTGCGGAAGTGGGCTCTTTACCTTGACTCTGTTGACTAGTGCTGTCAGCCCCTGATAACTCAAAATAAAGTGTGGTTTCAGGGGCTGCTGGAAAAAAAAAAAAACAAAAAAAACAGGGAAAGCAATTTTAAGAGAATTTGGATTCTAAAACACAACTGACTTATCAACCCTTACCCCAGCAGATAAATCACCTGGTATAGAGAATCCTTTTCTTTTAAGCCACGACACTCGTTGATTAAGTCCACCAGGGTAATTAAAGGCAAAAGCAAAAGCCAATCAAGAAGTCTCTTGGCAGTTGTTGACAGTAGAGAACAGGCCTGGTGGCCCAGTCACATCAGTGACCTCCCACACTGTTAGACTGGACTTTCCAGTCTCCTTTCTCTTCCCTTTGGAGCTTGAATGAGAGAGGTGGCCTTTCCATGCTGGGAGCCTGAGCTCTTCTGAGGCAGAGAGTTTTTAGCTCAGAGCTTCCTTTCAATGAGTATTCAGATGTGTGCTGTGTGCAGAATTGTCTTGCTTTGTGATGTATTTGTCCCCAGGAAACATTGGTGTTCCTGGGCCTAGGCTTAATGGGTGGCTTTTGGGCTTCAGGAAGAGGGAGTGAACCCTTTTGTAATCTCTTGAGTCATGACTCATTTCCCACATCTGGATAAGAGGTTAACCTCCTCCTCCTACCCACTGAATTTTAGGTGACCTGTCAAGCAGGACACTTCTCTTTATCTCCTGCTCTGTGCTTTTTAAATTATGATTGAAAAAAGTTATTTTATGAGTATGGGTGTTGTGCCTGCATGTATGTCTGCGAGTGCCTGGTGCCAGAAGAGGAGGTTATAGATTCCCTGGAACTGGGGTTACAGAGGCTTGTAAATAGCCATATAGGTGCTGACTCAGAGTCCTCTGGAAGAGCTGTCAGTGCTCTTAACCATTGAGCCAACTCTCCAGTCCCTGTGCCTCCCTGTACCTTTAAAACTGGGGATATATGGGGGTGGGGGGGGGTGAGGAGTGTTTCTTGCCTTAAAGTCTCAGAGCACTCAGTAACTGTCCTGGTAGGAATTAAGACAGGTGAGCTTGTGTCTCTCCTGTTGGCAATCAGACTATGACCTCCAAGAAACTAAAAATTTCCTGGGAATCTCAGGAAGAAGGCTGAAGCCTAGTGCCAGCCAGAGTAGGAACCTGAGATCTCACACAGTTCAGAAAACTTGTCAGACCCCCTTTCAGGAGAGCCTGGAATTGAGACAATCATGGGTCAGCGATAGGAAGGATCACGCCTGAACTGCAACTCCTTAGTCAAGCATGCCACTGGTCCTTTACCTAAACCTAAAACTCCTGTCGGGACCCCAACATGAGCTTGGAGGTGGTGGGTCACTGGATCTCTAATGTGGCAACATTGAGTAAATCTCCTTTTTTTGCTTTTCACTATTTGCTCTTTATTATTGGCTTGTTGAGGATAAGTGGTCAAGAGTCTGGCTTGTTAGGAATGTCAGAGTCCAAGCTTTGATACTAATAACTCTGCTAACAAATCTTATTTGAAAAAACAAACTAAAACCAAAAACCCAACACCTTCCTGGGTTAGCCCCTAACCTTACCTTGACTGTGGAACACAATGAGAAATGCTACAGTAGGCAGACAAGTGGGCCCTTATTTCTGCAACTTACCAATGGTGTGGTTTTGCAAACTGGATGGCTTCTGCAATTAGGCAAATAGTTTGCATTTGCAGAGCAGAACCTGGGAGGTCTTTCTTTCCTGTTTAGGTTTAGAAATGACTAGATTTGTTTTGGAGCTTTAAAATTTTCTGATCAGGGGACAGTTTATGGGAA